CTTAGTGAAGCATCACAAGAATGGAGAAGTATGAATCCTATGTTTTCAACTTTGATATGAGGACAATTAATGACATTGTGGGGCTTGGGGGATGGGGAGAGCAGAGAGAGAAGGAGGGATGGGTGAGGGTAAGGACAAGAAAAAAAAAATAATGACTAATTCTCACATAAATTGGATTTGATTTTGGCTAAAGTACATTACTTAATTTTTACTTCAACTTGTTAATATGTTGTTTAGGATACAGGATACTGCATCCTCATTTAAAAGTGAATTATGGGCTCGGTGCCTGTGGCTCAAGCGGCTAAGGCGCCAGCCACATACACCTAAGGTGGCAGGTTCAAATCCCCAGCCCGGGCCTGCCAAACAACAATGATGGCTGCAACCAAAAAAATGGCCGGGCGTTGTGGCGGGTGCCTGTAGTCCCAGCTACTTGGGAGGCTGAGGCAGGAGACTCACTTGAGCCCAGGAGTTGGAGGTTGCTGTGAGCTGTGATGTCATGGCACTCTACCCAGGGGAATAGCTTGAGGCTCTGTCTCAAAAAAAAAAAAAATGAATTATGTTGGGCGGCACCTGTGGCTCAAAGGAGTAGGGCACTGGCCCCATATGCTGGCAATGGCAGGTTCAAACCCAGCCCAACCACAAACTATAAAAGTGAATTATGTTTGTAATTTCCCCTTTGTAGTAATATATTTTTTCCAATTTTACTATCAGGTGTATCCAGATTAAGCAGAATGATTTTGAAGTATTTCTTCTCTTTCTCTGGTCTATGACATTTGGCATGATCTGTTTTTTGAAATTATCTTTTATTTTTATTTATAAATATTAGTTGTCTATTTTTTGAGATTTTGGGAAATAATAAGAAGTTAATTGATGACTCTATACTGAACCTCAGAGTCAAAGCAGTCTATAATAGACATACTCTTATTTGACAATGCGAATGTTACTTTCTTTGCATTACTATTATAATTATTGCTTAATACTTAGTTGCAGCAATCGTCTGATTTCTTTTCTGAATGTATTCATTCATTCTTTATGAGGTTTTTGTTTCTAGTCCTTATCTTAAATGTTGTTATTGTTGTTAAATTTTAAGCCTTTTGATTTTGTGAAGGCAAAAACTGGATACCTAGTAAACACATGTATATCTAAAAAAACCCAAAAAGTTGAATCATAGACTCTCTGGATTGACCCACACCAATGCATTTAACTGGAATTTGAAGCTCATCTTCAATAAATCGAACATAGTTTTGTGTATTAACAGGTAGTTCTTTAAACATTCTTGCATTTGATACATCTGTGTTCCATCCTAGCAGAGTCTTACATTGAACTTCAACTTTATTTAAGACTTCTTGGGCTTGGCGCCTATAGCTCAACTGGCTAAGGCGCCAGCCATGTACACCTAAGGTGGTGGGTTCAAATCCCCAGCCTGGACCCGCCAAACAACAATGATGGCTGCAACCAAAAAATAGCTGGGCGGGCACCTGTGGTCCCAGCTATTTGGGAGGTGGAGGCAGGAGACTCGCTTGAGTCCAGGAGTTGGAGGTTGCTGTGAGCTGTAATGCCACGGCACTCTGCCCAGGGGGACAGCTTGAGGCTCTGTCTCAAAAAAAAAAAAAAAAGACTTCTTGGTTTACTGGGAAATGAGGTATGATTTCACCATCTAACTTGTAAGCAACTGCAACTTTGAATTCTATAAACATGTCCAAAATATCCAACTTGATATGTGCCAATGCAGTAAATCCATTGATTATATGAGCATATTTGAGCAAAACAAGGTCCAACCAGCCACATCTTCTTTTTCTTCCCGTAGTTACACCAAACTGTCTGCCCCTTGTTCGTAATAATTTTCCAATTTCGTTGTCTTGCTCTGTAGAAAAGGCACCAATACCAACTCTAGTTGTGTTAAGCTTTCACAAGTCCATACACTTCCCCAACATTTTGAGGGGCATACCTAAGCTAGTACAAACACTTCCAACAGTACAGTGTGAAGCCATTACAAAAGGATAAGTCCCAAAATTAATATTTATTTATTTTTTTGAGATAGAGTCTTTTTTTTTTTATCTTATTTTCATTTTTTTGAGACAGAGCCTCAAGCTGTTGCCCTGGATAGAGTGCTGTGGTATCATAGCTCACAGCAACCTCCAACTCCTGGGCTCAAGCGAGTCTCCTGCCTCCGCCTCCCAAGTAGCTGGGACCAAAGGTGCCTGCCACAATACCCGGCTATTTTTTGGTTGCATCCATCATTGTTGTTTGGCGGGCCCAGGCTAGATTCGAACCTGCTAGCTCAGTTGTATGTGGCTGGCACCTTAGCCGCTTGAGCCACAGACGCCAAGCCTGAGACAGAGTCTTACTCTGTCACCCTGGGTAGAGTGCTACAGTGTCACAGCTCATAGCAACCTCAAACTCTTGGTCTCAAGAGATTCTCTTACCTCAGCCTCCCTAGTAGCTAGGACTACAGGTGCCCGCCACGACACCCAGCTATTTTTAGCAACAAGGTCTCACACTGCCTCAGGCTGGTCTTGAACCTGTGAGCTTACACAATCTACCCGCCTTGGCCTCCCAGAGTGCTAGGATTATAGGTGTAACCAAAATCAATTTTTAATAATGCTGCATTGGCCCCTTCTACCAAGATTTTCTTTGGTGGTCTATGTAGGGCCTCATGTAGGAAATAAAGAGAAAAATGACTCCATCTCTCACCGTTGGTTTAATCCTTTCCATATGACCTTTGAATTTCTGTAAATCACTTTCAATATCTTAAATAAATTTTGTTTTTAAGAACAGTTTTAGATTTACAGAAAATTTATGAAGATAGTACAGGAAGTTAGTTTCCTTTATTTTGATTTCTTATAATAGCATGGTGCATTTATTACCATTAATGACCTAATTTTTATTGTTGTTGTTGAGACAGAGTCACACTCTATGTCCTGAGCAGAGTGCAATGGTGTCATAGCTCAATGCAACCTCAGACTTGGGCTGTGGGCATCCCGCTGCCTCAGCCTCTGGAAGCTGCTGGGATTACAAGCGCTCCCCACAGTGCCCAGCTGAGTTTTTCCATTTTTTTAGGAGTCGGAGTCTCACTCTTGCTCAGGCAAATCTCAAACTCCTGAGCTTAAGCAATTCTCCCTCCTCAGCTTCCCACACTGCTGGGATTACAGGCGTGAGCCACTGCACCTGGCATAGACCTAATATTGACACCTTATTAACTCGTGTACATTATTTACTCAGGTATCCTTAGTTTTTACCTAATGTCCTTTCTCTGTTCCAGCAACCCATTCAGGTTACCACATTATGGATGAGTACGTAGGACTGGCAAGGCAGTGTGTGGCTGGGAGGTGATAGCATGTACTCTTGGCTAGCTTATCATCTCCACAACAAGCTCCTATGGCCCAAGCCACCTCAGGAACTAGGGGTTACTTGGCAAGGGTTTAGGATCAGGAGTCACATCTCAAGCTTGTGTTCCACTTCATGTTTCATTTCAGCATGTCATTTGACTCACCCTCTCTTTGCCTCAGTTTCTTCATCTGGAAAGTGAGGGCATTGAGCCGGTTTCCTCTGGACGGGGGTGTTCTGGAGTTAAGTATGGATGAGGTTTCCGGATTCCTGTCCTGGGCCTGAGGGAGCTGGCAGGCTTGGAGTTCAACATAGGGATGAAGGCTCTGACTTTGCAAGATTTTCAAGACAAGGGTAAGGGCGAGGTCCTATCACAGCTTTGCTGCTTATTCTTGGGTGCCTTGGTCCAGGCTCTCCTTGTCTCTGGGCCTACATTTCCCCATCTGTAAAGTAGTGGCTGGTGGGATGGCTTCAGCTGGCCCTTCTTGCTGGGGACAAAGGAGGGTGCCCTGGGACCAATGAGCTGGAGGTGTGCAAACTAGGCCAGGTGACCCAGTTGGGTGCTGCAGGGGGTGTTGGTAATGCTGGGCTCTAAGAGTCTCCCTGCTGGATGGTGTATCTGGCCTTTGTTCCCTCCTTTCCCATGGCTGAGTAGGGGCTAGCAGCTGTAGGACGCCCATGCCCTCCTTCCTGGCTCATGCTGGGACTGCTTTTGGCTCTGGCAGCTGTATCACATCTGGGCAGTCAGCTTCTAGGTGATAGAAGTTCCTGCCTTCAGTAGCTCTGGCTGCTGTGCCAGTCAGTTGTCAAAAGGCTCACAGCAGAGGCCAGGCTCTGGTCTCCAGGTACACAAGGTTACCCTGCAAAGCTCCAAAGAAAGAGGATGTGAAGATGAGGAGCCTTGTACTCCCAGCCCCCCAGGCCTGAAAAACCAGATTCTTGGAGAATGTCCAGGTTCTGCCTTACTTCTGAGCTTTTGCCTCTGCTGTTTCCTTTACCACCAATGTCCTCCCTTTTTCTAGCTGTTGAACTCCTATTAATCCAATGCAAAAGTCCCTAACTGCTTCAGGGCCTTCCTGTATCATGGCAGGTATCACCGCCAATCATAACTGTCTCTTCTTTGTCTTATGTCCCTTGCACAACTCAAGTTCCCTGAAGGGTGTGTCTGAATTACCCACCAGGAGGCTGTGGCAGATACCTCATCTCCCCCTCTGTGTTACTGGGTGAATGAAAGGGTGGGTAGAGGAAGGGAGAAATGCTGCCTGGAACCTTTCCTGAGCACCTCCTGTTTACTGGTATGGTCCCAGTCTGCCTCCTCCGTCTCTTTCCCACCAGCTGGGTGCTATAACCAGTCTCCTTGGGGCGGGGGTGCCAGGAGCCAGAGGCCGCAACCAGAGCGGGTGTGGACCACGGAGAGAACTGGCGCTCAGCTGACAAGGGGTCTCGGGGAAACCCGACGACTGGCCACGGGAGAGCCATGCGGGGAGAACCCGCACCGGGGAGACTCGACCCGCCCAGCTCCGGCCAGGACTGTGAGGCCTCAGCCCTACCTGGGGCCCCGCCCCCGCCCCCGCGCTGGCCCCGCCCCCGTCTAGGACCTGAACTAGACCATCGCCCGGCGGGCGCGGTGACAAGGGAGTAGTTCTCGGTCCTAGGCTACGTGCCAGCTCCGGCCCCATCATGGGCAACAGTGCGGGCCGCAGTGACTTCGAGTGGGTCTACACCGACCAGCCTCACACGCAGCGGCGTAAGGAGATGCTTGGTGAGCGTGGGCCGCGGGGCTCCTGCCTAGGGTGGGGACATTCCTGAGGGCTCTTCTGGAGTCTCGGGCGAGCCCGAGATACCAGCGAGCACTCCCTCAAGCCCGCTCCTGAGGACGTGCAATGCCGCACCTCCTTCCCCAGCACCCTGGCTGGGCTCCCCGAGGGGCCCCTCCATTCCCCGGCCCCGTTCTGAAGCTCCCGTAGGGTCTCTGCTTTCTGGGTCCTGCGATCCGACAAATCTGAGAATCCTAGTGAGGGTCCGCGATCCCGGGGAACCTTCAACTGCTCCTTGCAGACAGTGAGACACAAGCCACTCCGGGGACCCGGGCCAGGGCGTGAACTCGGGACGTGGGACGCCACCGCGCAGGGAGCAGCCTCAGGTGACGCGGTTTTAATGGGGCTCCAATCATCTCTGCTGCAGAGGCAGCTCTGCGCCTGAGGGTGGTCTGCAGATAACTGCTGGACGCCTGCTGTGTGCACTGCCTCGGGTCCTGCAGCCAGAGGCTCCGCAAACCCAGCCCGAATATGCGTGTTTGGAGTGAGACTGGGAAGGGGGCAAAAGCGGAAGGAGAGATAGACATTTTTCTTTGAAAAATCTACAAAGATTGTACCAAGAATCCGGTCTATTTTCTCATGTAGCTTAATACACTGTTGCCGCCCCTCCTTGTCGCATAGTGTGGCCTCTGCGAGGTCATTTTTACCACAGGAGGTGGTCACCATACTGTGGATTCACTCACACAGGCAGCCCCATCTCGAACCTGCAGACAGGACTGATCCGGGATATGAAGTCCTTTACCTGGGATTATAGGGTTAAAGGCACTTACTAGATGCCACCAAATCGCAAATGTACTGCAGGCTGCAGCAGGCCCGCCCCTTCCAACCCCACCTCCCCCCCCCCACACACACCTGGCATTGGCACACTTCATAATCTCTCTGATGTTTTACCAACCAGATTGGGGAAACAATACTTTTTCTTTGTGGGTTTAATTTGCATTTATTTGGTGGTTGGTTTCAAATTTTAGTTAGCTATTTTAATTTCTTTTTCTCTTGTGTTGACTCCTTTGCTTTTTTTTTTTTTTTTTTTAGACAGAGTCTCATTTTCTCACCCTTAGTAGAATGCCCTGGCGTCATAGCTCACAGCAATCTCAAACTCCTGGGCTTAAACGATTCTCTTCCCTCAGCCTCCCAAATAGCTGGGACTATGGGTGCCCATCACATGCTCAACTAGTTTTAGAGACAAGGTCTTGCTCTGGCTCAGGCTGGTCTGGAACCTGTGAGCTCAGGCAATCCACCTGCCTCAGCCTCCCAAGTGCTGTTGCTTGTTAATTTGTTAGAGCTCTTTGTATAGGATGCTTTTAACCCTTTGTGCTTTATGTGTTGTATCTTCCCCATTTATCCTTCATCTCTTGCTATCACAGAGGCTTTATTTTTTTAATACAGTCAAATCAGTTGGCCTTATTCTTTAGAGTCTTTCATCTTGGTGTCTTCCTGCCCCACCCCAAGGCTGTGGAAATATCTACACTATGACTTTTAAATCTTTCAAACACAAAATATACTGAGTAGGTATAATCTGATTGTACCCTGAAGTAGTAAGGAGAGGGCTGGAAACCTCTAGGTGCTTTTGTGACTCTCATGATTTTCTCCTGTGAGGCAAGCCAGAATCAGAACTATCTGTTGTCTCACCTGTGGCAGCACACTCCCCTGCACTGAGCTCCTTGGGGCTGGCTGGGTGGAACCTTAGGGGGTCATCTTTTCCTCCCTCCCCGCTTAATGTTAATAGAGCAGGAGGTGGTAAGGCTGAGGGTAGAGCAGGGGCCTCCTTGGTCCAATTTGTTTCTGTCCCCTCTGCTTGCTGTTCCCAGCTTTTCCTCAAGTGTCTCATTGGCCCCTGGCCCCAGGTGGTAAAGTCTGGGAGACACAGCTGCCAGAGTCCTGGCCCACAGGCGCTGGATTCTACCCCAGACCTCCTGGAGGATCCAGACACTCCAGGCTGCAGCCTCACTTTCCCAGTCTGCGAAACGGGCAGTCATCCTACTGAGCAGAGCATGTGTGAAGATAAAATGAGATCTCAGCTGGGAAGGTGCCCAGTGTGGTACCTGGCACTCCAGAAATGGGGAAGGATTTCTCTCTAACAGGGGAAACCACAGGCCCTGGAAACAATCCAGGAGGCTTTCTGGAAGGGGTGGCTGAGAAGATGTAAAGAGGCATTTTTGGCCAGGGCCCCCAGAGCACTTGTTCTTGAGGCTGGCTCTCCATGCTTTGCCCATGTTTCTTTTCCTTCAGGGGCCCTGGCTTCTTCCCCACCTGACCCTTTTGAGCTAATTAACTTGGAATGTGCCATTCTCTCTCCTTCCCAGGCATCTGCAGGACCTGTTCCCCTGCTTGAATGTCCCGCCTCTCTGCTGTGCTTAGCTCTCTGTTCTTTAGTCCTGTAAGGCTCCATTCAACCCCATAGTCTGCAGATCTTCCTCGTGGGCCCTGGCCCAGCTCCATGTGAAGCCTCCTCTGGGTACCCCCTCTATGCCTCAGCCTTTTGGGCTCTGGTCTCTCTGGGACAGAGGTCAAGAACTTGGCTGTGGAGCTATTCTCCTGGTAAGGACCCCAACATCCACACATTAGCTGTGGGTGAATCAGTAAACAGATGAAGGAACTGAGGGGTGACCAAATTAAAAGAGGTTAGGGGACTGGGCATGGTGGCTCATGCCTATAATCCTAGCACTCTGGAAGGCTGAGGTGAGTGGATTGCCTGAGCTCACAAGTTCGAGATCAGCCTGAGCCATAGCGATTCCTTGTCTCTAAAAATAGCTGGACGTTGTGTCGGGTGCCTATAGCTACTTGGGATGCTCAGGCAAGAGAATCACTTGAGCCCAAGAGTTTGAGGTTACTGTGAGCTATGACACCACAACACTCTACCAAGGGCAACAAAGTGAGACTCTGGCTAAAAAAAAAAAAAAAAAAAGTTAAAAGAGGTTAATAATAGCATCTTCCTTATGAAGTTGTGCTGACCATGTAGGGTTTAGCCTAGGGCTCAATGAATGTCAGATGTAAAGATAGGCCTGGGGAAGGTCTGTGGTTTCTCTGAGGATAGGAAATTCCCTTCTACCTCTGCTTTCTTCCTTTTTTTTTTTTTTTTTTTTAATAGAGACAGAGTCTTACTTTATTATTCTCGGTAGAGTGCTGTGGCGTCACACAGCTCACAGCAACCTCCAACTCCTAGGCTTAGGCGATTCTCTTGCTTCAGTCTCCCAGGTAGCTGGGACTACAGGTGCCCACCACAACACCTGGCTATTTTTTTTTTTTTGCAGTTTGGCCGAGTTTGAACCTGCCACCCTCAGTATATGAGGCTGGCGTCCTACCCACTGAACCACAGGTGCCACCCTCCCTCTGCTTTCTTGATGCCTGTACTGTTCCTAGCCCTGGGAGAAATCCCATGTGTAACTGCCAGTATTTCTTCTCCACAGAATAAGGCTCAGAGAGGGAAAGTGACTTGCCCAGGGTCACACAGCCCAGAAATCACACTCTATTAGCTGTGGCAGCCTATTCCAAGTTCTCAGGAGCCCACGGATGTTCAATAAAGATCCTATTCTTGGAGACAGAACCCAGGAAGTCCTTGCAAAGATCTGGCTTCCCAGGAGCTCTGCTGGTGGGGCCTAGGTCCATCTCCAGTTCCTGCTTGGGGTGGGGATAGGCTCCTCAGAATTGTGTCTCCTAAGTCAAGGTGAGGTACCCTGTACTGAGAGGGTGAGAATGGAGCCAGCAGGACTTTAGTTTTCATCAAAAAGCAGCCCAGCCATGGCCAGTGGAATAAGAAGCAGGCTGTGGATTTGTTCTTTTTTTTTTTTTTTGACAACAAATAGCTTTGTAGTTTTTTTCTTCTTTAATTATGAAAGCTTGGTCCACAAAGTTTAAAAAAAATCAAATAATCAAAGAAAAACAAAAGAGGAAAACCAGGAAGTAAGGCTGTTGGATTATTTGCTTAGGAAAGGCCTTGGGTGGGACTCTCAGTGTAAGCATTAAAATCCCAAATGGAACCAGCCGAAGCTACAAAGGGAATTTGTAGATTCTTGTCATCTAGCCACAGAGATGCCCAGCTGTAGGACTGGGTCCCTTCCCGTCTCTGTGACCTGGGGCTGTATGTTCACCAACCTTTAGCACGGATTTGTCAATGGAACGAAAAGCAGGTTTAGCGAGAGGCTGGTGAGGAGGTGGGGCAGGGTGACACCTGAAGGCACTTTGAGCTACTTTTCTGAATTTTCTATGTTAAACTATGTCCTCAAGATGTCTACCACACCGAATAGACAGGGTTAGTCTTGTCTTTTGGCCAAAACCCGGAGGGGCAGAGGTGGAAGCTGTGGGAAGAGGCTTCTTTTTTTTTTTTTTTTTTT